TGGAGGGAGGGGTGTGCGGCCGCTGCCAGTGTGCGGGGAGAGGGGAGGGGATGCGCCAGCGCAGCCTGCGCACCCTGGCGCAGAGCCACCGGTGCAGGCCAAGGGACCCAGGCCGGGGTGCTGCCAATGCCACGCGCTTCCATNGCATGCACGCCCCAGCCTCCCCACCCCACCCGCCCCTCGCCACCCGCCCCGCCCCTCCCCGCCCCGCAGCTGGCCCACAAGCTGGGCTCCGCCTTCCACGTGCCGCACGGCCTGGCCAACGCCGCCCTCATCTCCCACGTCATCCGCTACAACGCCACAGACAGGCCCCTCAAGATGGCCGCCTTCCCGCAGTACCAGTTCCCGCAGGTTGGGGCGGGGCCGGTGTGTGTGTGTGTGCGTGTGCGCGTGTGTGCGTGTGTGTGTGTGTGTGTTCGTGTGTGTGTTCATGCATGGCAGCCTGGCCCGCGCTGCCTGCCTGCCCACCCCCGGCTGCCCATGCCCGCCGCCGCCTCCTCCCTCCCCCCACTCGCTCCGCTGCGCCCCCGCAGGCCAAGGGCCACTACGCGGAGCTCAGCGACATGCTGGGCCTGGGCGGGGGCAGCCCCGACGAGAAGGTGATCAAGCTGATTGAGGCGGTGGAGGAGCTGAAGCGGCAGTGCGACATACCGGTGCGACATGCCGGGGGCGGCGGCGCGCCTGCGGGGCTGGGGCCGGCGGGACTGCAACGCAGCGCTCCGCGGCGCGGCGCGGCTGCGGCCCGACTGAACATACCCTCTAAAACCGCCACCGCCAAGCAATGCCAGCCCACCTTCCACATCGCTCACACGCACGCACCCACACAGCACACCCACAACCCGCCTGCAGCCCACCATCCGCGACATCCTGGGCGCCGACAAGGAGGGCGAGTACATGGCGGCGCTGGACGAGATGGCGGAGAACGCGTTTGACGACCAGTGCACGGGCGCCAACCCGCGCTACCCGCTCATCTCCGACCTCAGGCAGATCCTCAAGGTGTGTGTGTGTGTGGGAGGGGGAGGGGGGGAGTCAAGAGGTGTGTCAAGGGCTGGTGGCTGCAGCTTCTGGGGGCGGAGGGGGGGCCCGAGGGGGGCCACCAGCTCCTGTCGCCCCTCGCTCGCTCGCCCACCACCGGCTGCCGCCGCTGCTCGCGCCCCCCACCCGGCCCTCGCCCGCCGCAGGATGCGTGGGAGGGTCCCATCCTGC